AAGCAGTGCGTCGGTGCGCGCCCGGGATCCGAACCAGCAAACCCCGGGCCGCCGCAGCGGAGCGCGCACACCCAACCGCTTGCGCCACCGGGCCGGCCCCAGATGATAGATAATTTTAAAAGGAGAAAACAGAATCGACTTGCCCAAGGTCACACAGCTGGATGGTGATTGGACAAAAGAGTCAGCTTTCGCTAATCGGCGTGTATGTTTACAGAGCACCACACTGTCAGCGTGTATGCTACACTTTAAGGTGTCGTTCTCATGCCATCTATTCATTTCTTCTCTTCTTTCCCCTAATTTTCATACAGATGAACATAATACTATTATATAATCCATCTGTGATATCCAGAATAATGTGACTGGTAAGAGTTGGTGGAAATTTATGAATAAAATAATTATTAAACCTATATCTTGTGTCACCACTCTGTCGTGTGTGGTGGAATGCAGAGTACTTTTAATTTCAAAAAATAGAACGAAGCAAAAACCCAAACAACTTTTAAAACTTTCAGTAGATTTTGACTTCTGAGAATAGCAGAACTGTTCACCTTATCGTAGGCTTTTCCATCAGAGTTCTGTGAAACAGGAGGACTATATTATTATGGCAGTTCATTTCAAAAGTAAGGAAGATCATGTATAGGAGGACCTCACTTTTAGGAAATACAGCATACAAAACATTTATCTTACAGAACAGATAAAATTACAACAATATTATTTGTAAAGATAGTGCCTACAGAATATATGAAACAGCAGATTCTGCTAGTTCATGGAGATTGATTTTCTTATTTATGATTACTTTTTTTCATCTTCCTTTTTGGAAAGCATTTGTTGCCCAAAGTAGGGATTCCTTGTGTTAACTTACCAATTAATGAGAGAGAAAGAGCTGGAACTAAAACGTGAAGTTCTGATATGGATCCTCTGGAGTACTTTGTGGGCACTTCTGTTTTAAAAGGAGAATACCTGGAAGATTAGAAGTCTAGAAACCGTATCCTATCATCTTAGGTGCTCTTGGTGTCAAGTGTGTAACCTGGGGAGAAGAACAGTTATGAGTGGAAAGTAGACTTCTTTCCTATTCTAGAGAACCAAACTACAGTGAATGTTGTAGGGTGATGGTTATTCTTTCTTTATAAGGAAGACTTGCCTAGTGTGATACTTTTCAACGGTAGAAAAGGCCTTCGTGAAGACTAATAGAGAATAGTGGTAAGTTCTCTATCATGGAAGTTTTCAGAGAGATTGTATCATCAGGATGTTTTAGAATAGATTCCTTCATTGGTATAGAAGTTGAACTAAATGATTTATAAAGTCCCTTCCTGTTTTTAGATTCTCTTCTAAGCGGTTATGACCTACAACTAGTGCACTGAATCTGCTCCCTTCATACTTTCGGAAAAGCCTTTGGTTGGACCACAAGTATGACCTGCAGTGACCTGGTTCCAGCTCTGTCATTGGTCCGAGAACCAAACTTCTATCCAGCAGTGTGCCTGATCCTGAGAGGCAGCAGGTTGTGGCTGTTGGTTATAGAGGGAGAGATGGCTTTGACCCAGGATCCGTAATCCTTGGGCCAGCTGCATCCTGCTGCCATAGATTTTCAAGGTCCATGTGCAGAGGAGATGCTCAAAATTACTTTGTAACTCGAAGGCTTTTTGCCTCTGAATCACCGCGAGGAAGCTTGTGAGCTGGACTGGACTCTGTGGAGCTGCAGGGAGTCCGTCCACTCTTGTGCAGGCCCAACAGGCTGGACCAAACAGCCCAGGGCCTCCTTGGGAACTTACCCTGTGACTTATGTCCTGATTTTTCCCGTGAACTCTTACTGTCCTAGGGTGGAGAAGAGGCAGAGAAAGTCAAACTCACAGGAAAGGAAGTTGTTCTCCTTCTTTAAAGCCTGGAGCAGACTTTCTGAAATTGAGTAATGTGTATCCTCCTTTAAAGGAAAAGAAAAATTTCTCGTAGATCGCAGTGTTGACCTTTTTTCTACTTTACTGTTATGTAAATACATACAAACATAATATGAAGTGTAAACGTTTTTCTTATAGTTTTTGAAAACCAAAACAAATTTACAAATAAAACACAAACAAAGCTAGAAAACCAATAAGTTTTCAATTCAAATATGAATTCAGTGAGCAGGTGATGTTTTGCTCAAATAGAGTCACGATAAATCCCCCAACAGACCTGCAGAACCTCTGTCCTCACTTGCTAATTTACTTGCTCCAGCCTCCATCCTGTCTCTGCCAAGATAAGTGAAACCTGCTGACATTGCTAGTAACGCATTTAATCCTGCTGGGATTTATCAGCCCCTGCCCCTAACAATCCCATACGGATGTGGTGTGGGTCAAGCTGCCAACTCCCATCAGCCTCGGTGCCCTGGAAGGGTTTTTAAAACGTCAGCTTTACGTGTTCTCTGAAGGTTTGAAAGAACTCGCCAATAAAATTGCCTGTGCTTGACACTTTTTTGAGGAGTACTTTTCTCACCCACAACATTCTCTGTTTCTCCCTCATCCTCTTCTTGGTTCCCTCTTGATCATTTCTATTTTGCTAAAAAATTTAACCATCCAGATTTTCATATTATTTGCATAGAAATTTATGAATCATTTTCATAATTTTTAATTTCCTTTTCTACTATAGTTCTGTTTTTCTCATTTTTGATTTTGTGTATGAGTTATTTCCCTACTGGTTTTTTAAATAGGTTAATGAGTAGTTTCTAATTACTGTTTACTTCATTAAAGTTTATTATGTTCTGTTTTTGTAAAGTTTGTTTTGTTCTTTTTCCATCTTACCTACTTCTAATGCATTTATTTTCTTTCTTGTTTGTTAATGAACATGTTTATAAGTGGTAGAAAAATTCCTTGGAGTAAGTACACCTTAGGCCATTCCCCAAAGACTTTAAAATATAGCTGTATCATATCATTACTTTCTAATTATGCCATTTTGAGTCAAGGGTAATGTGATTGAGGTTTTTATTCTTACTTTTGTTAGTTTCTCGTTTTCATACACTTGGTTAGAAAATGAGATCTGCACTCTTTCTATTGTTATTTTCATATTTTTATTGAATTATTAGGTGTAATAATAACCTAATAAACCTAATAAACGAAAGTCTCATCCTTTCGTATGCAATAACTTTTGAGGAAATTGGTATTTGATATTTTGAACCAGTCTAACAAGTTTCTTGTAATATTTGAGATTTATTCTGCTTATATTTCTAGTCTGTTTCCTTACTAGTAATTACTTTTACATTTTTAAAAACAAACTTAGAGGGGCCGGCCCGGTGGCGCAAGCGGTTGGGTGCGCACGCTCCGCTGCGGCGGCGCGGGGTTCGCTGGTTCGGATCCCGGGCGCGCACCGACGCACTGCTTTGGCAAGCCATGCTGTAGCGGCGTCCCATATAAATTGGAGGAGGATGGGCACGGATGTTAGCCCAGGGCCGTCTTCCTCGGCAAAAAAAAGAGGAGGATTGGCGGATGTTAGCACAGGGCTGATCTCCTCACAAAAAAAAAAAACAAACAAACTTAGAAACTTTTTTATAAATGTGTCAAGGTCAAAAATTAAAATAGTAGTCAGTGACTCCTTTCACTGAAAGATGGGGAACTCAGGATATTATGTTTCCTTCCGACTATCAGTTTTACTTAATAAGCTCTGAGAATTTCATCCAGGTCTGCTGTTCTGTATTTCATCTATTCTAAGACTTATATGTTTTCGTATTACCGTCTCTGAAATTGGAATGTTGTAAGCAATGGCATGTTAAGATAGTGGCTGCCTTGTGGCAGGAACGATGAATTTGTCTTTGCGCAGGCAGGCATTTGGCGTGACTGGATAACTACAACTTCTTGACATTTCAGTAAGGAAACCACTTATGGACCATTTGAGGAGAAGATAAGAGTCCTGGTTGGTGTCTGAAAATCTTTCATTGATACCTCCTGATAAGATCAAGAACATGCAGCATCAATTTTACAGAATGAGTGTCAATAGCTTGGAAGAAAACCCTGGAAACAGCAGAGAAACTGTCAGGAAAAGCTGCAGAGCCAACCCTGGTGGCCTAGTGGTTCAAGTTCGGCACTCGCACCACCTCAGTGGCCTGAGTTCATTTTCTGGTCGAGGAACCATACCACCCATCTGTCAATTGTGTGGGGGAAGAGGGAGAATACCCCTTTGCCCTTTCCCTTAAGGTTCTTACAGCTGGCCAAATAATTAACAAGACAGGTTAGCAGGAGAAAATAATACCAAGTTTAATAACATACATACATGGGAGAAACCAGGGACACTGCGTTTCTCAACACAAGAGCAGAGATTCTCGTCTTAAATACCATCTTCAGCTAAAGGCAAAGGA